CCTTCAGGGAACTTGATTTGTCAGAGCGTAATTTCAGTAGTATTTTATGCAAGTTCTCTGCAGCAGATGTGCATGCAACATTTTCTATTCAAAGCTAGAGACAAGGTAAAGATTTGACCTGGCTCACAAGGCACCTTTATAAAATCAACACATAGGGTCGTCACTATCTAGTCCAAAAGGTGTTTTTCTATACAGTTTACAGTTCAGCGCACACAATCGACTTCGTGCGGAATGCACGGAGCCATTGGGATGCCCAGCCTCAGAGATGATTTGAGCGGCTCCAACCATCCCAGCAGCAATTAAGCGGCATAATTATTTCATTTCATGCTATTAGCCTGTTCTCAATCACTTCCCTATGTAGAAAGATGAAATGCTTCGGCAGTAAGAAAGCAGTACAGTTGAAGCTCCTTGTACAATGAACGTGAGGCGTGCCATGCACTTCGCGTACAGGGAACGTTTCACTTTTACTGTTCAGGAAGCTTGCCAAAGATTCCGCTTGCCGTCGCCTTCTTAATGGCTTATAAGCCATAGCTCATCAGCACTCACACGTACAACGTGTTGAGCCAGTCGGCCAGTATCAGCATAACCGTTAAGTTGTACTACACTAATTCCGGCGCGGCTGCCTGTTCACAAGAACAGGCGAACTTCTCAGTAGCAGTCACTTTCCTTATCTTATAGAGAGACGGCTCTACAAGAGAGCAAATACCTTGAGGTTAAGAGCCTGCAGTTGCGAAAACATAATCATAGCGAAGGTAAGTGCAAAAGGAAGCCAACTCAATTGCGTGGCAAACACCGTCAAAAGGGAAGTCGTGAAGCAACTAAGCACATGCATTTAGCAAACATCAAAATATTATGCATTCGTTGAATGAGATTTGTAGATTAATTGCTTAAACACAGAGATAAGAGAATCATTTGCTCAAGAGGGTATATTGTGATTGTGACACCAAAAGGTTTTCAAAACATATCTGCATCAGATCATAAACTTTATCCAAAACAACATATTCATGTGGACACATAGGACCGTTAGCAACTTATGACAAACTCGCCACTTTGTGTACTTGTAATCATGAATGATCATAACCAACTAATGCTAGAGGTTAAATCTGCATCAATGCCATCACCTAGATGAAGTTGTTCATACGAATGAAGCACGAGTCTGAAAATATGTATGCCTCAATCATAATGGGCACTGGCCTTCCAGAAGACACAATGGTGAAAATGGAGCAAATGCGCAGACCTATCTTACTATACATATTGCGCTAATGTGTGTATATGAGTGTGTATGCATGCATGTGTGTATAGTATGTATGTATGTATGTATG